ACAAGAAGTCCTCGCAGGTTGTGCGCTGGAGGCTCTGAATTCCTAAAGGCTGGCCACGGGCCTTACTGCATGGAGCACCCTAATGCGGCTGTCCTCAATTCCAGCCAGGGAAAGAAAGAGACACCAGTAGGGATCTAACCATCTTCTATGATACAATCACAAGAGCACATATGTCCTGTTACTTTTCAGAGAAAGTCACAGCTCTTGCCTGTATTCAGGGGAAACAGTCACAAAAGGGTCTGAACACTCACAGACAGGGCTCATGAGATCCACCCTCGTGTCTGTCTGCCACAGCTTTGCAAGAAGTGTGGGTAGAAATTGGAACAGTTTGCGCGTCCACCCGTAGGCCAGGTAGACGAGATGGTTGGTCTGAGCTTGTTCCAAAAGGACACTAAGATCAAGCAAGGACACCTTACAGAGGAAGAGGCTGGAGATTTCCCTATGGACACCCAGGATAGGGCAGGGAGGAGCCTTGCAAAAGCTCCTTGCAGGAGAATAATACTGAGGAGTCTCTGGGATGGAACTACACATGCCTCCAACCCCAGAAACAAGGCCATCATCGGGAAACCAACCAATAACAGGTGCTGGAGAGTTTTCGGGGAAATGAGAAACACTTGTACACTATTGGCAGGAACACAAACTAGCACAATCACTCTAGAAATCAGTATGAAGAGTCCTCAGAAAACTAAAACTAGAAATTCTATTTAACCCTGCTATTCCCCTTCTAAGTGTCTTCCAAAAGAGTTAAGGCTTATAACAATGATACATACATAGCCATGTTTTTAGCAGCACAATTCATTATAGCTCAATATTTGAAGAAGCCTTTATGCTCACTGATAGAAGAATGGATGAGGATTATGTGGTAATTACACACATTGGAGTGCTACTATGCCATAAAGAAGGATAAGTTCGAGTCATTTGCAGGAAAACAGACGTACCTTGAGACCATACTCCTAAGTGAAATAAATCAGACACACAAGCTTAAATAATGCCCAGTGTCCCTTACATGAGACACCCAAAATATAAATAAAGAACAAAAGAAAAGATAGGTAATAGGAAAGAGGGAGATAGATCTTGTCCCAATGGAAGGGATCAGGGGGTTGGGAAGGGTGGGAGGGGAATGGAGGCGTGGAGACGGCTTGCGTCCATGTGCGACTCTTCACGGAGTGTAATTCTCATGCCCCACAAGCATGCACTAATGAACACTGGAAGTGCTTCCACTCCCCAGGAAAAAAGGTCAGCGCAGAGGGCAGGAGCCTCTCACCTCCATGGGGTTATCACACAAACAGTAAACACAGGCGCTGTGGAAATGTTTGCTGGAATAATTCAATTGATCTGTCACTAATCTATTGGCAGTCCCTAGGATTCTGTGCTTATCTTCTAAGTCAGAAGAGGATCCTCACTCGCCCCATTGGGACTGCTGCCCTGTGTCCCAGGCCTAAGGGGGTGGGCGGTCAAGTTGGACCCGCTGTTCCCAGAGAGGCTTTGTGAGACAGCGGAGCTGGGCCTTCTTACCTCATCCTTCCGCTGTCCTCCAGGGTGGCAGCGAGAAGGCCCAGGGCAGAGGTGGATGCCTAGCCTTTGGCCCCCGCCTTAGACCCCTGGCTCAGTGGAAGTTCTGCTCTGCACCCATGTCCCCTCTGGGTCTCTTTTCCATCAGCACTAAGCAGACAGGGACAGGTACACAGGTGTGAACAACTGTGTTAAACTAAACAGGGTGGAATAGCTAAAGGCTTCTCCAAAAGCTTGGCCCTTCAAGCTAATACGGAAGATTCTGTGTTCCCACAGCCAACTAAATTTCAAGGGCCATTTCACTCTGGTAAGTTTTCACTATGGTTTTCTTAGTGTTAATTTAAAATCACATTTCAAGATCTCTACTTCAAGAGTGTGGAATAATATTACATAGAAGGAATTGCTGCATACTTGACTTACTCATAATTCATTCATAATTATTAACATGATAATCTCTAAAGAAATTAAAATCCTTAGATCCCAAGAGAGCAAAGTCACTGCAACACAGTTTTTGTAACTATATCCAATATTTTTGTTCTTCCAGCATTCAAGAGGAAAGTCAAAATAGAAAGTTATTATTATATGCTTGATAAAATTCCTCTTATACCTGGAAGTAAAATGTGAAGTTCTAACTAACATTGATATCCAATAATATTTAATATTAGTATATGTGTTTAAATTAATACCTGTACAAGAAGATTTTTAAGAATATGGAAAAATAAAACGGTAATGCAGAGAGCAGAATTATTCCATATATTACACAAATTGTATGTTATTTTTTTATAAAAGTTTGTTACAAAAATGAACTATAAAATAAAATTTAAATATGGTAATCACTAGTATTTCCAAAAAAGTTACACTATAGGCAAGCAAACACCTGCTTAATAAAATATGCACAGGCCCCCTCCTTCCCTGTTTGCTCTTATTTTCAGGCCACAGACAGTAAAATACATTTCACAGAAGAAGTGCGGCACTTGGGCTTTGTATACGTGTTTAGCCCTTTTGATCACCTAACAGAACCTGCAGCTCAGCCCTGTAAGTTGTTTGCATCTTACTTTAAATCTCATCTACATCACCATCCCTGTGGTTTGTTCTTCACAATCTTAAAAAGTTCAGTGAGATGCTACACGATTTAAAGAGATTTATTGGATTTATAAATTAAGGAGCTCCAAGCCAGAAGTGGTTCAGAGAACCCACTAAGAAATGTGGGATGGGAGGCGTTTCTAGGACAGTCACCTAGGTAAAGCGAAGAAAATGTCCCATTCCACCCCCCCTTGGCTTATCCCATTGGAAAGCCTCCAGTTATATAAGTTTTTGGCTACTGTCGATGGTTGAGCTCTGATTCCATTTGCCTTTGGTAGCAGGGGCCCCCAGCCCCAGTGGATATATTTCAAAAGCACCAGTGGCGCCTCAAACTGCAGGTGGCACCAAACCCCACATACACTGTACTTTCCCCTGTGTACACACCTACGCAAAGTATAATCTGTTAATTAGGCACACAAAAAGATTAAGAAGAAACACTGACAACAAATAGAACAAGCAGAGCAAAGCTGTGTCAGCGTGGTCACTCTCCTGCCACAGGGAGGGTGCGTAGCATGGACAGACACAAGGACAGTCTGTGCCTCTGCAGAACACTGAGGTCTCATTGTAAGGGCACCTTTATAGAACAGCAGACCTGTAGGCTATAATAGCAAAAGTCGGAAATCAGTTAGAGGTCTGTGACCACAGGCTCACGGCTTGTCACATAGCCGGCTTGTTAAATTCAGCAAAAGCCTTGATGGTCTGGACCCAGCTGTTATTCTTTAACAGTGTGACAGGTCAAATCAAATGTGTTTCCTTTAGTTAACAGAATATGCATTGATTCCAACTTGCTCCAAGGCCGTCATGTTTGGGGGAGACTGGCCCAGTCTAGGACACTTTCAACTCCACCTACTCTTCTCAGACCCTGTCCCTCCCAGAATGTTCCTGGACAAACCTGCCTGACCACATATGACATAATTCTTGTATTCCATGTAGCCAATCATGTAATAACCTGCTATCCGCTTTGTACTTCCTGGTGGAAACCCTCTTTAAACTGAACTCAAACCTGACTCTGGGCTGGTGACTTGAGCCTCTGGGCTCCCTGGCCTGCTAGAGTCATAAAAGTCACCTTCTAACTCCCCAGGGCAAAGTCTTCCATTTGGATTGATACTGGTTTTCTGCAGCATCATCACACTACCCAGGAAGGCACGTAAACCTCCTGAATCACTTACTGCTGTAGTTACCCGCCAACAGCTCCAGGCCACAGTGGGTGGGAAGGCATCTGAAGGCGTGGAGAGCAAAGCCACAGACAGGGGGTATGGGGGACGCTGACTGGGGATTTACAGAACAGTTTAAGCTTCCGCCATGCTTCCAAACCAAGCCAGGCTTACATCACTTAGGAAGCCCACCTGTTTCACCCACTGAGGGCTTCTCCAAGCCCGGTCAGCATTTTAACTGACTCCGACAGCAACTTTAGCTTTACATACACTGACAGTCCTCGAACACCTTCCAAGAGACTCCCAACCCGTCCTGCTCAGCCCTCCACGGCAGTCCTCTTCTGCTCCTTCCAGCCATCGGGTAAGTGATTCCCATTTCTGTTTAAAGTGTTTGGCCTGATCTTTTGAGAGTTATTTTTTAAGGGTCTGTTCCGGCTTACTAATGTAATCTCTACTTCCAAAAGTTCCAGGACTCATTTCTCCTCGATATCTGAATCAAGCCAGGCATGGGGGTTGCACGCCTGTAATCCCAGCTAGTCAGGAGGCTTAGGCAGGAGGAACAGAAGTTTGATCCCAGCCTGGGCAACTTGGCAACTTAGCAAGACCCTGTATAGATTTTTAAAAATGAAACAGTTGGGAACATAGCTCAGTGTCAAAGCCCTGGGTTCAGTCACACACACACACACACACACACACACACACACACACACACACAGAGGAGAGGGAAAGAGTTGGAAGATGAGGAGGTATTTAAAAGAAGTAACAGGTAAGCAGCAAGTTTCCATCGCCCTTTCAGCAGCTGAGAGTCTGAGAACTGGCTGTTGGCAGACTCTCCCGAGACATCTGAGTGCCTTCTACTTTATGAGCTTGGCGCGGGAGGGTGGGGAACTAGGACCCCTAGACTGCACCCTGAAGCAGACAGAGCCCTGGGTCTCTCCTCAGCCTAAAGCACCAGGACCCTTTGCAAAGGGCAAGGGTATCCCAATCCATGCACAGGAAGGTGGATTTAGAGTGCATGGAGAAGGCTTGTACAGAGACAGTTTTGGAATTCTCCCCAAACTCAAATATAATTTTATTATCAACAATGTCTACTTTTGATAAACTCTTTACACACGCTCTTAAATTCTCACAAAAGCCATTGAGTAAAATTATTATTACGTAGTCCCCATTTAATAGATAAGAAACATCAGGCTAGAGAATCAATGGACTCCCCCGGGGCCTACACAGGAATAGAGAAGATGGATACTAACTGGGACCATAGCTCTCTTCCAATTTTTAGTGACTTTTCCAGACCTCCGAATTAAGAAAGACGAAGTAGAGACACTTTTCACATAACTGTCTATAGCTCCTGCTAAATTCACCTCCTATGTGATCACATGTGTTCTGAGAAAGCCACAGGAAGTCTCAGCTCCTGGAAGGAGCAGCCCCTGGGAGGTTCTGGCTGGGAGCTCAGGCAGCCAGCGCTGGCCGCCAGCCAGGACCCAGGACCAGGCTGGGAGTGCAGCGAGGGCCAGGTGTGGAACATAACTTTTGAGGGGAGGTTGTGGGCTTTGGGGCAGAAAGCCAGGGAACTTGATTCATATTCTGCCTCTGTCCCTGAGCACAAGAATGAACGGGTGGGTCAGCGTCCCTTACTGGGCCTCCGTTGACTCACTTGTGGAGTGGAAAAAACTGAATGAAAATGTTCTCGGGTCTCCCTCAAGATCAGGGGTGATGACTTTGCTCACATCGCCCTGGTGTGTCACTGAGTCGTGCGCAGGGTGAGCACTCGTCACACTGCACCTGTGCCCCCGATGTTCTACTCTAAGTGCGTGACAGAGAAGACTGCTGGTTCGTCAGTAAGGGGACGCACGGTGGGGGTGTAGCAGAGTCAGCCCTGCGCGTGCGCCCGGGGAGTGTACACAGGGACGCAGAGTGCAGGGGCAGGAGAGGAAGATCAAAGCAGGGGCTGTAGGAGGGAGCGCGAGGCGGACGCGGTCAGAGCTGCCGAGCAAGTCCTGCATGTTGCTGGCTTCTCAAGCGTGGGCTCCTCAAAGTGTCTGCCTCTTTCTCCAAGCGGAATGCTTCCTGCTCACAATAGGCTCGCCTTGCCCAGGACGCGGGCTGCCGGTGTTCCTCTGGTCCCCACACTTGGTTGTGTTCCTCCCAGTCAGGCCGCCCTTTGGACAAAGAGGCGAGACCTTCCTAAACTGTGAACGCTGGGTCCCCGGAACTGGATGCCTGTGAGCCAAATGCTGGGTGCCTCTTTCAGCATCATCAACACCATGCCACTGCACCTCAAAATCCCAGGGGCTCCCGCGGGCTTCATTCCAAAGGGCACCCTCACCCTGAAAGGAGAAGAAGGTGGACACGCTAAACAAAAGGAACAGAACCCCCAGAAGGATCTGCAGATGGAAGCCACGGTTCTGGGGGTAAGTCCTCCCCACCAGGGGGGGGAGGAAATGCACTGGGCACGTGTGCAGTACAGACCACCATGGGGTCGGGGGCTCTTTTCCCTCTGTGCGGCAGACTCCAGACTCAGCTGCACGTGAAACTGGGCTCCGTATGGACACCATAACCTCCTCAGTGCTTTCCGTGAACCGAGCGAACCCACTGGTCTTTTCCAACAGGATACTCCACAGTTAGCAGGCAAATCTCTCCTGGTTTGTCCTTAGTATTGCAGAACTTTTCAGTTAAACCACACGGCTTCACTCAGTCTGTGTCTTCTTACTTGGAGCTTACGTTTCACTTTGAGATGAGACGATCGAGATGAATGCCACTGTACCTTTCCCTTCTCCCTGTCCACATGAGTAGACAAGACACCCAAGGGCCCTCCACCACCATCCCTCACGAGCACGGCTTCATTTTCCCTGAGCTTCTGGGTGCCCCTTTTCAGACCCACTCCTACCCCTCTGGCATCAGAACCTCACTCTGTGCCTTCGGAGATCCAGGGCCAAGTAACAGCAGGAAACCTTCTGTCCCTCAGTTTCTCTCCTCGAAGACCCGCAATCTGCGGTACACACGCAGGTCCCCCTCGCACTTGGGCATGGAAACGAAGCTGCATCCTCTTTGCATCTTGCAATATTTTCAGAGCCACCTTTCATTTCTTTCTCACGCCCCTAGAAACCCCCATTTCAGAAACTCCTGTTACCCGCTAAGTAATTCACTCCTCTCTCTCTCTCTCTCTTGCCTTTCAACCCTGCTCTTGGATCACCGGCTCCCTCCAGGAGAGGCACCGCCCTAAGCCAGGGCTGGCTCGGGACTGCACGATGGCCAGCCTCCCTCCATGAGGTCCTCTCAGTCTGTGACCTCCTGTCCTGTCCCCAAGTCTCTGTCCATCTGTCCTTGCATAAGTCGCTCCCTTGGGTCATGCCCTGAGCCATATCGATGCCAGTAGCAGGGACCCTGCCGTTTATTCACGATCCCAGCATCCTGTAGTCCAGCACCAGCCCTAAACTTCCCAGGTCATGCCTGTGACTCTCGGTCCCTCTCTCTAACCTTACTGAGACAGCGACAGCTCCACAGAACCCGGCCTCCCACAGGCTCGCTTCCCTCCCGGCCCAGCTCAGGTGCTCCGGGTCCCTCTCCTGTGAATGAGCGCACCAGCCCGGCCCTCTCTGCCTGTCACACACGCTGCCAAGGGGAGCCAATGGCTTAACTCGCTCTCTGCCTGTCTGCCCACCCCATGCCTGCATCTGGGCAGCTGAGCTTTGCTGAAAACACGTGCACATGCATACACACGTGCATGCACAGACACGTAAACACACGCACCTGCACACCTCTTTAGATTTATGACCACAGTGTCACCTGAACAGTTGCTGCCTCAACACTGCTCTATTCCTTTCATCGCTTCACTCCACTACCACCCCAGAACACCGCCTCTATCTTCTTTTCCTCTAACCACTAACCGTGCTTCCGGTCTCTTCTCCACTGATAACTGTGCTTCCTAAAACACTGAGAACACAGAGGTGATCAGATAGAGTCCAAAGACTACCCCATCTGTGCTCAGATATATATCCCCTCCCGTTACTGAGAATAAGACGCCCCGGTCTGCTCAGTGGTAACCCTCCATGTGCACAAGAAGCCGTGCTTGATGACTGGTTTTGGCAGTAGCCCCTATTCTCGCTGCAGATTTATGATCCATGCCATGCGCACAGGATCTCATTGCAGTTTCTCCCACTGAAAAGAATGAACATTTTCAGTCTCCTGAGTCCTCCGGCTAACGCCCCGTTCCATCTTCTCAGCAACACTCCTCCTCCGAGCAGGAAGTCAGCGTCTCTACTTTCTGCGAATAACCTCTGACTTGAATCATACCCAGGGCGCCTGTTCTCCTTGTTCCACATTAAAAGCTGATTTCCAGGTCTCCTACGAACTTCCTTGAACTGGTACAAATATGTTATTCACTTGACCACTCTCTCCTACTCAAAATATTTTATTCATTTGACTTCTTGGACTTCTCTGGTTTTCCTCCTTGGCTCCTCCTTCCACACCTCCTTCAGTTTTTGATTTATTTCTCTGTTCCTCTGCTCCTGAACTCGGAGTACACCCACACGGACCTTGATTATGTTCCCTTTCTGTAGCTGCTGCAGCGGCCTTTCATTACTATGGCCTTAAGCCTCATCTTTCACATACAAATTGGAAAAAATAAACTCTAGCCTTTGCACATATCTCTGCTCCAAGCTCAGCACTCAGAACTTGAACCTCCTATGAAGATCTTCACTTGATGTCTGCTAAGAGTCTCTCTCGGTCTGTTCCAGACTGGAATCCTGATCTTCCTCCAAACCCACTCCTCAGCAGTACTCCCCGCTCAGGCAGTGTCACCTGCATCATTGTAGTTGCTCAGGCCCACGCCCCTGGCAGCAACCTTTATTCCCCTCTTTGTCCCAGCACTTCCTGCGGGTTTCATCTTCACGGTACATCGAGATCCCGACTCCTCCGTTTCTGCCGTCGGTGCCCCCTTGTGAGTCAGCGCCCCTCCCGTGCGGGTTACCACAGCACCCTCCTCACAGACCGCCCAGCCCCGTCCCGGCCCATCTTAATACAACAGGTGTGGAGCTGTACTACATCCTGCAATCTTTTTGTTCAAAACTATCTAGAGGGCTGCCCCTTTCACCCAGAAAGAAAAGCCTCCGCAGCCCTACACAGTCTGTGCCGTTCTTTTCATGTTTCTTGGTCCTAACCCCATCCCACTTTCCATGGAACCTGACTTTAAAAGATGCAGCCCTACGAGGTCTGTAGCGGTCGTTCCCGGCACACACAGGTGTTTAATAGGTGTTCACTGTGGGAATGGCTGACCTAGCTTCGCTTCTCTTGTATCTGCTCCACCTTTCGGTCGCAGCATGCACTAAGCAGTTCCGTGGGTATGGTCTCTAGGTCAAACGCACAGGCCTAAGAGATCGTCCTTCTACTTGGCAGCCACACGAATTGGACAAATTAACTCCCTGTACTGCGTTTGCTTCATCTGTGAAAAGGATGGGATGATAGTGCCTGGGACGTAGAAATTGTGCAACAAATGCAGTCTGGTTACAGTGGATGCCATGGAAATAACCGCTGCTATTAACTTCCATGATGAGCGAAGGAGGCTGACGGACAGCTGTAGACACCCACTGCTCTCTTTGATTTCGGCTGAAACGAAGCCCTTCGGGAACACTCTCTGGCTGAGTTGGTTCTCTGTATTTGTCAGACTCAACCAATATCCAGGCAGCTTTCTCCATCTACCTTTCAAAGAAACAAACAAAAACGAGTTTATCAAACATTTTTTCAAAATTAAAATGTGCTTATGCTCACCTCCTGACGTGCTAGTTTGTTTGCAGCAAGAAAAGAGGTGGGTTATATATCGCTTTCTCTCATAACACACGCATCCAGCCCACAGCCCATGGGGCACCTGCAGCCCCAGGCACCTAGCAGTGAGAACCCAGAAGATCACAACCTTTTAGCATTATTCGGTGATGTTTTTTCCCAACACTGGGGATGGAACCCAGGGCCTTTGCCCTGAGCTACATTACTAGTAAAAATGAAAAATTTATCTTTTACTTTGATGCAGGTTCTCAGTAAATTGCTAAGTTGCCCTGTCTGGTCTGGAACTCACAATCCACCTGCCTCACCCTCTCAGAGTGCTGGGATTAAAGGTGGGCACCCACCGCACTCAGCTCAGCGATATTCTTCAGGGCTTTATCCACCGGCTGGTGGATTTCTTAGGGCGCAGCACCGCTGCCTCCACTGCACCCCACATTCAGCAGAATCAAACCCCTCCCGAGTCAGGCATTGTGGGTGCTGGAGCAGCCTGCCAAGGGCCACACCGCAGTTACTGATGAATGGTACCACAACCCACCTATGCATGCACGACATGGAGAAGACTGGTGTTTATTGTCATCAAGCAGATGTAAGCTTTCTTATTTAATTATCAAATTTGGACTCATGCTATTTTGTAAATAATTTGATAAGTTAAAATGTAAAAATAAAGGAACATTCACGGTATTACTTACTTTATCCGCAACCCAGGACTATCCGTTAGCACTCAAAGCAGCCGAGCACCCAAAAGGCCAGGCACACTGGGTGTAAAGCCTGCCTGTCCGTTCTTTGTGGCGCCCTTGCTTTTGAAATGTGAAAAATGATAGCACATTTTGTCCTCTTCACAGCCCACGAGGTGCACTCAAGAAATCCCCGTCTACCCGAGCTGCGCTGAGCGCGCCCTATCTGTTGCAGGTGGTCCAGATCACGTGTGGCCTGGTGGTCTTGGGTCTGGGCCTCATCCTGGCTTCTGCTCCTGTCTCCTCTCGGCGCAGCCCAGCAGTGCCCAGCTCTGTGACGTCTGGGTTCCCACTGGTGGGAGGCCTGTGTGTGAGTCAAGGGCTCTTGGAGGGGACGGAGGGGACGGCCTCGTGAGCGCACACCTGGCCCTCAGTCACGGCACCATTGTCCCATATCCTGTCCTCCTCTCAGGAAGGCCAGCAGAGCGCCTCCTCAGCCTTACATCGTGAGGGTCCCAGGAGGGCGATGCCCCTGGCCCATCAGCCAGCATTTCTGAACTGGCTTTACGGCCTCTCTCCTGAAAAATGGAAGGTTTTTCCCATCCCTCCTTGGGACTTCCAGGAGACTGCTGGACTCCTAGACTCCCTGTACTTTAAGAATAAGCCTCTCCTCAGGTAGCCAATAGAGGACCATTTTCAGACTATAAAGTGAGACCCTTGGAGGGTTCCAGGGGTCTGCATACATTTAGATTAGCGACAATAAGGTTCAAGGATGCAGAGCAGTCTTGCTGTGTGCTCACAGGTGAGCTGGCACACTTGAAAATCTGTTTTTGTTGCCTGTTATCTACCAGCTCATGAGAGAAGGTGCAGGGGGCCTTTTCTCCAGAGCAGCTCTGGAAGCCTCACACCTCCCTTGAAGGGTCAGTTCTCTTCCATGGTCTGCTACACCAACGAGGCCAAGGTGCACACTCATGGCAGACAGATTACACCAAGGTGCCGCTGTGCTGTGGCTCAGACCCTGTGTGAATGTAACTACAAGCTGCTCCTGCCCCAAGCACCATCTGTCCTGGACTTCTCCATGGAATCTGTGGCTGTGGCCCCACGTCCTTAGGGAAGCCAGTGTCAGCTCCTGCTGGACCTTCTCTGCTCTCACCATCCAATACAAACCACGAACCTAAACCAATAATTTCCCTTCCTGGGACACCCTCTCTCTCTCCCAGCTGGATCCTTAATAGCACTGCGGTGAACACTGGCTTCAGAGATGTGTGAAGATTTCCCCTCTGATCCTCTCCCCACTCTTCCTTAGTCCATGTCTGCCACACACTTTTCTGTACTGGCCTCCATCAGACTCCTCCCTAAGTGCTTCTTGGGTTGTCCCCATCTTTCTATCCATCCAAGTCACCAGTCCGCAAGCCTCCTTCTCCACAGGCCGCCTTAGCAACTAGGGATGCCCATTAGAGCAAGTCTAAACCTTCCGAGTGTCTGTCTGTTCCTCAGAGTCAAAGTCAGCATCCCCAGGGTGGACATCGGGCCTCTCCATCAACATGGATGCACAGGTCCCTCCGGTGACAGCTCCCAAAATGTTTTTCACTGCTACTTTATTAAATGATTGTAAGTGACATAGTGGCCCTATTTTCACAAGATAACAGAACTCACCGTTCTCTTTTTTCTAAACAGTTTGCAATATCTGGATCTCTCTCATTTATCTCTGGCAAAAAGTCAACCAAGCCCTTTGTAAGTATGAGGATCATCAACTCATACCTGGTTGGAATGGAAAGAATCTCAGAGTTGATTCTTCTAGCTCAAAATCTCTACCATACATTTCAGGGAAAGAAAGGTCCAAACAGATTAGGGAGCCCAAGTCCTTCAGCTGACCCACTGGCAGAATCAAAAATTGAGTCTCACTTCTCCCTTCTGAAAGCAGGGCACCTGGGAAGCTCCTTCTGAGAACAGTGTTCATTTTCCATGTTTTCTAAGTGAGGAAACTGAAGCACACAGCGCGAGGAGCACAGATGCAGCAGCAGAGCCAGGACTGGTGCCCAGGTTTCCTGATTCTGAGTCAGAACTCCGACCCCATTCACCCTAGGAACTTTCTGAAAGCCCGCCCCCTCCTCCTGTCAATCATCAGAGTGCCACCAGTTGTGTACACTGCCCACACGTGCTCACCCGGGGGCCAGACCCTGAGCCTCCTTCAGTCTGGCTGTGGCTGTCTCTTAAGTCACCTTTGTGGGTATGAGGCAAGGGAGAGGGAAAGGTTCCGAGGAGAGGGCCAAGGCCTTTCCTCCTGCCGCATCTGCAAGGTGTGTGGGGAAAGGGGCTGTTGTCAGTGACTGTCATCGTGCTCTTGTGAGTGGAGGGGAGGAGACGGACCTCTGCTACTTGCCCTGCTGCTGAGGGAAACTGAAGCTATGTGTTTGTCCTGTTAACAAGCGTTGCCAGTCATCGGAGTCAGCCCCTAGTCCATGAAGGTGTGTGCAATGTTAGACAGGCGTCCAGCTTCTCCCCTTCGCTTCCAGCTGTTCTCTACACTTGCCTCTTTAGGTACAATAAAGCCCTAGGTCAGGCTTCCCAAAGGGGACCAAGGGCCCTGTTCTAGGGTCCTTTGGGAAAACACGGTGATGCTGAGCCCCTTGGCGATGTCCCCAGTGGCCTGCACAGCACCGTCTCTGAGGCTGGTGCTCAGAGTCAAGGGGCCAGAACTTCTCGCCCTAGGGGAGTTGTTCTGCATCCGCTCCCTCAGCAAGCATTTATTAATTATAGCAAGTGATAAGCCCCGCACAGAAGAGATACACAAACACGAGCGGCACAGTCCGTGCCCACCAGGAGTATGCGGAACAGAAAGGGGAAGAAGGCCCAAGGGAGCACAGTCACAGTGCAGGGGACGGGGATGAAGCATCATGACCAGTTCTTCCACGGCAGCCTAATGTGGGATTTCTCCCCCAGGCCAAGAGCAGCCTGGCCTCAAATGCAGTGAGTTGTGCTGCTGCCGGGGCAGGCGTCCTCCTCCTCACCTGCAGCCTGGCGGCCTCGGGGAATGCTGCTCAGACGCACAGTTCAGAACGGGAGTGTCTGACTTCACTGCCTTACTCAGAGTACTACTACTCAATCTACGAACTCAAGGACTGTCTCCTGGCTGACTTCAGCCTAACAGTACGTAGTGCGGGGCTGAGCATCCTGTCAGAGGGGCCTCCATGTCTCCCCTCGGCAGGACTTCCCCTTCCTCAGCAGTTTCTGCTCTGATGGGTCTGATTGTCTGGGGAAGACAGGAAGAAATTATGATAAATGAAAAGAAACCTGTCAGCAGGGCGCGCGGTATGGGGGACGCATTGTACACAGCTGAGCAAAGGAAACGGAGAAAGGGCCATGGAGGGTCTTTCTTAAGGGCCCTTCAAGGGTCTTTCTTAAATATTAAATAACAAGTACTCCAGCCTAAATAACTACAACTCTCCAAATGCCTCCTTTGCTGAGGAAGCATCGTTTTCCTCAGCACAGGCAAGCGCATTTCTTTTGTTTGGATTCTGTTTGAATTTGAGATCACCTCTTTTAGATCTGATTCCCTGGGTTGGAAGCCCTTACCTCTCACAGTCACTTGTCTTCTGATCCTCAGTGAATCTGAGATGAATTTTGCTCAGTCGCAAAATTTGAAACGCTGTTACCATTCACTGAACCATGTACAGGTAAAGCATCCAAGCGCATAATTTCGTATAAAGTACAGCAACTTCCGATGAAGGAGTGAATTACAAACTGCTCCTTGGTCTGTCAAGCTGCAAAAGTTCTAACAGAATCAAACCTAAATCTACCATCTAAGGAAATGTCAGAAAGCCCAGCCTAGAACTCTGCATTGGAAAGGATCCCACAACCATCACTACTCACACCCTTGGATCATCTAATAGTAAAATTAGTATGAGAAATGTGAGAAAAAACTCAAAACATAAAGCAAATGGAACAAACATAGAAGTTAGTAGGCCAGCAACTGGAGACACTGTAATAATTTGAGCAAGGCTGTGACTTAAAGTATATTCTAAATGATTAAAAGTACAAAAAAAATTTTATTGGTGCTCTTTGACATATATATTGCTCACATTCATCACAGAGAATGTGTACCTGCACGTGATATAGCATCATTCTTTTTTCCCATTCCTCCTCCCTTCAGCCCTTCTTCCCCTCTCCCTTTTCAATTAGGAGAAAACTCAAAATACCTGAAGAAACAAACAGTAATATAAAATTTAGTCCAAACTAAAAAGAACACAATGCACTAATATAAAAATTTTAAAAATAGGAGCAAGAGGTTAAAATAAGTGGAAACCTCAGGGGTATGCACAGGTCCATCGTGCATCTAACTTGAGTTCCAATGGGAGAGTGCGGGGGAGAGGGGAGGGTACTGAAAGAGAGGATTGAGAATTTTTTGGATTAAAGAAAGATGTGAGATTTTGCACTGAAGCAATCTACTGACACCTCTGCAAGATTAAAAAAATCAAGTCTACACTTTGAAATATGGCAAATGAAAAGCAGTAAAGACAAAAAGAAAATGACAGCAGCCAAAGAGAGAGGGAGACTGCAGTGATGGGGCCTCCTGTGGGAGACCAAGGCTTGGAGATGATACCGCCGCTCCCGTGTCCTTCTGCGGAGAAGTCTGGACAGGAGCGCAGAGGAGGACCAGGTGACCGTCTCCATCCCCAGCCCCTCTCAGTGAGGTGCAGGGCTGGGGCCGGGCACCAACATCCATGTCCCCACCGCAGGGCACGCTCGTTGTGATGCTCATCTTCGTGGGGCTGGAGCTCCTCGTGGCTGCCTACGCCTCTGTCTTCTGGTACAAGCAGATCCGCTCGACCAAGCCCGGGGTGAGTACACTGTGGGCTCACATGGCGTCTGCCGTGTCCCCAGTCTGAGCGATGGTGGTCCAGGCCCAAAAAGGGGCATAACGAAGAGTCAGTGATCAGTCATGAGATTCATGCAGGAGGCACTTTTACAATGAAACAAGAGCTCAGTGAATGGCTCCTTCACGAGGGTGCTGCAGTTGTCGGCATCAGCTAGTGCTGCGGGACAGGAGCTTCACTAGAGAACTGCTTCCTGTGAAGCAAGCTGGCTTTAGAAACCACCTAGTCCAGCCCCCATGAAAGAACTAGGGCTTGGATGAGTCCGCATGAAGAATGTAGGATGCAGATGGATGAGTCGAGGATGAGGACGTGGAACACACTTGTTCTCGCCCCGAGCCTGCCTCCCTACAGGACTCTACAGCCAAGCCCCCTTTGCCAGCCTGATAAGGTTTTCCCAGGACTTCTGCATTCCGTTTATGTTTTCCTTACTTTCTTTTTCTTTTCTTTTTTTTTT